TTGGGTCTCCTGGGGGCTCGTGGCAGAGCCCCCATGACAGTGGGGGGCAGCAGAGATTGCCCCCCGCCTGGCAGGAGCCAATGAGTGTGGGTTTTTGGGGGTTTTTTTTCAAAGAGCCGGGAGCTGGGGTAAGTGGGGCAGGCATTGATAGGGCTGGGAGAACGGGTAGGCGATGGGACCAATTTGGAGATGTGGTTGAATCTCCGAATTGATTCGGGTCAGTGATTCGAATCACTGAATCGAATCACTGTCCCCTGAATCGGCTGAATCCAAATCCGAAGTGAATAGTAGCCGCTTCACACAGGCCTAATAGGTATTGCCCATGCTTCTGTACTTTCCTGGTTGTCACATGGGGCCAGGAAAGAATATGCTTATCCTTCCTGTTGCAAAATGTGTTGGTTTTTGGTTTGTTTTTTTTCCCCCTCAGAAGCACTGGGTGTTGGCTGGAGCCAAGGTTGGGGATATTGACTGGAATGAGCCAATGTTTCCGCTGGGATGAAAACCTGGAGCTCCTGGCTAGAGGGTCTCATCCCTCCACTCAGGATCAGACTGATTGCCACATCTGGGATCAAAACAGATTTTTAGAGTGCCCTGCCTTGTAGTTGTGTCAGGATTGACTGTGTGGTTTTACTAATAGATTAAACATGGTTTTGTATGGGATGATTTGGCTAGAGATGATCTCGTCTCAGGCGGGGGGGTTGGATTAGATGATCTTCTACTTCTCTATGGTTGTATGATACTGATCCAAAGGGCTGTAAATGTGCACCAGCATATACTGCTCTCTCCCTATTCATTCCCTGTAAAGTTCTCTTCCTCTATCTTTGCTCCAGAGTTGCATTAGTCTAACCCCTTGACTCAACAAAGCTACTCCAAATGTTCAATGCATCCCTGTGAATGAGTCAGGCCCAAAGACCTTAATGAAAACAAATTTGAAATGAATACATCCAACCTAGTTTTGTGGATAGGAAAACAGTATTGCTCATTACTAATTCATTAAGTTTTATGCCCTCAAGGTATAAATAATTTATTTAACTCTGAATCTCTAATCTGAAATGTTCTGGAACTCTACCTAATCAAAAACAAGCTCAGTTCTCTGGATAAAGTCAGTCCTGGGGTCCTGTGGATATCCGACCCACAGCCCTTTTTTTTTTTTTTTTTTTTTTTTTTAGCAATAATCTTACAGTTGAAGCCCATGAAAACCGAGAAATCTAAATTATTTCAGTGACAAGTATTGATGAGCTCAAGAAGTGGGGAGTGTATAAAAAAAATTAACCAGAAAAGCCTCTTTGCCTGTGGCTGCAAGTCCTCATTGCTCATTCATTGCAGAGCCGGGAGCTACTGTCATGTGGAAAATGAAAGCTGCTCCAGCTTCAGGCAGGAGTAATTGTCCTGTCCTTGACTATTGTGACTCCAACCTTTAGTGACTGTGCTCTGGGGAATGGCTGGGTTTGGCAGACCATCTTCCAAAGTTCCCTTCTCT